CCCCAAAACCCCAAAACCCCAGTCTCTTATCTTGTAAGTTATTGATAAATTAATGCCAACTTTTTATGATAAAATGCTTACATAAATTAATAAAAAATATTAAATTACGACATTTTAAAATTTAGATGGAAGCATTAGTGCAATAAAACTTGTAAGCTGATTCCTCAAATGAGAACTGCATTACTCTTAAGTACAAGAATATGTTTCAGCTTGACTTGAAATGGTATTCAAACATTTTGAATAAGGCAATATCAATTTTAGGGATGATGAAGTTACAGACAGAGAAGTGCTTGCAATACTGTTCTTTGCTTATGACTACATCAAAAAAATATTCCAAAGAGAGAATATTTTAATACAGGTAGATTTTTTCGCTCCCATCCTAACTTATCAACATTTAATAGAACAATGAGCATAAAAAGAATATACCACTCGATGACATTGCAATTTATAAGCATTCACCACTTGTACTAGTATTTGCATCAAATGAGCTTCCCAAAGAAGTGAAAGTAATTCATTTTGCAAATAATGTTCATAACAAAGGATGAGGATATTGTCGTGCTATTTTTGAATTAAAGGAAAGAATTGATCAGAACGTTCAAAGTATACATATCTATATTGCAATTAATTTTTCAGAATGGGACCTCCAAGGTGATAGCCTTTAATATTAATAGGACAGGTTATTCAAAGATTGCCTCGCTAGTTGAAATGCCCTAGGAATCAGACATTCCTTAATATTCAAAGACTAGACCTGAAAACCCACTAGATGTGACTACTAATCCTCAGTCAAAAGTTGGAAACAATGTATCTAAATAGATATGTGTTAATAATTTTATAGAATTAGGAGAGTACTATGAAAAAGAAAAAGAAATCAAATAAGGTTGAACAAGAGATGATTACTCCTTCACCAGGTTAAGCCGAGTAAAAACATAAAAGCAAACATTAGGAATAGTCCTCTGTGCTAAGATAAATTACTATGAATGAAGTTATGTAGAATAATACTAAAGAAAGAGCTTGGTCAGTTATAAATGGGATTGTTTATGATTTTACAAAATTCCTATATAATCATCCAGGAGGATTTAATAATATATTCAAATCTGTTGGTAAAGAGGGTACTTTAGTATTTCGTAAGATAAATCATCTTTTTCAAACTATTAGGAGAAGGACATTCTTATGTAAGGGATTCAAGAGCATTCCTTTAAAGGTATGAGATAGGAGTTTTGATTTCAAAATGAAATCATAATACAGAGTTTAAGAGTAAAAACATCATTGAAAATCTATATATATAAACTGTTGTTATTTTATGCTTAAAACTTTAATAAATAAATATTGATCTGCTGTTAAGATCACCATTAATTACAGATATCAAGATAATTCATTTATAGCTTTAATTACTCATTCGTCTCAAAATGACATTGCATCACAAAATCTAATTCTCATCAATCTTTTTCACTTCAATCTCAAATTCTTGCATGTTAAATTTATCCTTCATTTATTGATTAATTTCCTGCAGCTTTTACTATTCTTCTTTCTATTTTCTTTCCTCTATAGATTTTAACTACTCTTCTGTTAATGGCTTAGCCTCCTCTTATCTAATTGCTTCTTCACTAACTATTGATCTCTTATCATCATCTTCCTATATATCATCTGCTAATTCATCTCCAAATAAATCATCTCCTTTTTTCTCTTCCTCTTAATCCTCTGGCATCTCTTATATTGAAGTGTATACTTTGTCATCTGATAAAATAGAAACTTTAGCTAAGATTTCCTATGAAAATATTAACTCAACTTATTCTATTACTCCAACATTAGCAAATCCATTCTATAATGCTTCTTCAAAAGGAATTCTATCAAATTCATTTTTTATATTTGGATCAGCTTTATGCTCAAGCAATAACTCTACAATTTCAACACGCCCATTTAAAGCTGCCCAATCTAGATATTAAGTTAGCAATGCAATATATTAATAAATTACGTAATGGTGTATTATTTGATTGATTCTTTAAATTTGGATTTGCTCCATTAATAAGAAGGTATTTAGCGATTTCAATAAAATTGTTTGCACAAGCCATGTCTATATAAAAAGTTAATGAACTTCTCATAAATTAAATCCTTACGTAATGCAGTATTGCCTGATTCATCAGCATAGTTCGGATCTACTTTTTCTTCAATACTCATTTTAACATCATCAAACTCTCCTAATCTTGCTGAGTATACTAAGTAGTCCTCATAGCTCATTTCTACTTCCTCCTCTTCATTTCCCTCATTTAGCTCTATTTTTTGCTGGTTTTCAACTGATGACTCCATTGCTTACTAATCTAATATTTAATAATACAAAATCTCACATGATTTTATTTCATGGGGTTTTGGGGTTTTGGGGTTTTGGGG